AAATTTGGGTGAACCTTTGTACAGTTTATTGAGAAACTGTCTCCACTGCCAAAAGCTTCACATCAAACATCGCAGAACCCACAAAAGAAATGGAAAGAAGTAATAACAGGGTTGATGAACTCAACACCAGATATTGACGAGCTCAAAGAGAAAAAAATGAATATCCTTAACAAGAAAAAAAATGCATTGGCAAGAAGATCTAAAAAAATATTGAATTCATGAACGAAGATGAAGCGGACATTGAAATTGATGATGATGATGATGATGATTCCGACGTGGCCTGGCCTTTATTGTAACGAACTGTACTCAAGGTCTCGATCTAGGGAATTTTGGATTAAATGTCAGAACTGTTCTGGTTGGTGCCATGCACAATGCGCAGACGTCAGTAGAAAAACCAAAAATTTCATTTGTGACGTGTGTACATAATAAAATATACTTACTCACTTTTAGTACGTTTTTATTTGTTAATGTTTCTAGTAATGTTTAAAGAAGTACTTATTTATTTCTTGTTCCTTAATAAAATACTCTTTATTTGTAAAAAAAGCACTTTTCAACTATATTTCGATTTTTTTTTTAAATCAGGTCACAAAAAGCACATGGATTTACTAGATTCGGGTTAGTTGGATACTTTTGCTACATGTAATATGAGCCATTATCTAGAGTCTCCAAAATAGTCGGAACATCGTTTGATTTACGAAAGTTCTTAGGGGTGCCGTCATAGGCCCCTATCCTCTATCCCATATCTATAGATAAAGTCGCAGCCCTGATTACGGCTTTAAGATATTAAACAAGCTTAAAAGAATGGTTCATTGATTCAGGAGCTTCAAATGTTATGACTTACCAAAAAGATTGGCTGATTAACTTTACGAACGAGACAAATAATGGCTTGAAGGTATGTGTTGCTAATAATCAAACCCTTTATAGTGAAGGAATTGGTGATTTTCCCATTAATTTAAAGTCAAATATTACAACAAATATGTTTCTAAGCTAGCTTCAAATCTTGTGTTAGTTAGTCAGCTGGTTTCCAAATGCTATTTGATTGAGATGAATATAAAATACTAGGTTTTCATGATCTTTGATGATGTCTGACGGTGTTTTATGAAGAAGAGCAGTTTTAATTACCTCTCTGACTACCGGCAAAATTAATTCCTCACCAATTGTGTGGCCAGTATCGCCCCCGTTGAGAACCTGTGTTTTAAAACGATAGAAATGTCAACGTTAATTAAATAATAATTCTTTACAATTTACTAACGAATTTCCATTGGAATTATTGTATATCATCAAACTCTTTTCCACCGTAATCATAATCTCGAATCGTATCTTGTACAAGTTCAAGGCGAGAACATTAACACGAAAACAAAAGAATTCCAAGATGATGGATACAAAATTATAACAATGGCTACTTTACTGCACGATAATTATGTTTGTTAATTGCTGATGTTCTAATCAACGAAGATGCCTACTTTTTAATTGTGCTCCGTATACCGTTATGAATATGTAGATGGAGATATGATGCTTTTTTAATATGGGAAAATCAGTCTGGAATGTGTTTTGCTATATATTCCGTGAACTGTAAAAAAATATGTAAATCAGCAAAGAGTTTTAATCAAGTTGAATCATGCTGACAATCCTGACAATTAAATTTAACTAAAAGTTCAAGGGAACATTTATTATGGCTTTTTAACACTATATTAAATTAACTAATGACAATCCTTTTTTATCACACGCCAATCAAAACAAATTGTATCTGAAAACACTTAGTGCAGAAGTGTTTTCACTCAATCCCCCGAAACATCAATGTAGTTTGTCAGAAATGTGACAAAAATGGACAAAAATAGTTTTGGTTGTTTAAATATTAATATTAATTTGATAAACAAATAAAACTAACATTAAATTATAAGTTATTACTTTTATATTGTTAAATAATCTATCCAAATACCACACGAGGAACACTAGTATTTTAGAACTCACGAATATTTTAAAAATTAGTCGAAAGCGAGGGATAATGTTCATATAACAATTAAGGGACCAAATGACGTAAGAAAATTTTACACCGATATTTCAAAATGTCAAAACTTGACAGAAATGGTTTAAAATGGCTGAAATTCAATTTGCAAAGTTGGCCATGCCAGTTATACGTATTTGTCAACGCGAAAATTCAATTAATATTTTAGCTTTAATAAAGGCACAAATTATTAACTTTAGCGCTCCAAAAAAATAAAAGTAAACCAATACAAATCTAATATAACGTTCTATGATAATTTCACAGTGGGTAGAAGTATATTTTGTATAAGTAATTTGAAGCAATCTCAATCAAATCAGACATATAAATATTAATTACCGGATAAATTAACAATTTTAGTTGCACAATTATGTAATCAGTTACAAAATGCCTTATTTTATGTACCTATTGAATATTATTGAGGGACGAGCGGATCGAGGTCCCGCAAAGTGAACGAGTTATACAAAATGGCATTTTGTAATATATTTTATATATACAATATTTTTTATAATTTTGAGTAGATTATTTTTTATAAAATTGTGTGACTACCCATTCAGTACACATTATTTCAGAAGTATTTCAAACGTTTCTGAAATATATTAGTTAAATATTTCACTGAAAATGTTTCTGAAACATAGCATAAATGTTACACATAAGGTTACTAAACGGGTTATGTTGTAAAAGACCAATACTTAATGGAATTTCTGATTTGTAAGAAGAAGATGTGATATGTAGTTATTTTATTTCATCCTATTGCCCAGGCATTCAAAATAATTAGAGGTTTGCGTTGTAGATTTTTCCAATTTAATTTTTTTTTGTAGTTATGCATTTTGCTATTGATCTATGGGATGTACTACATAAATAATGCTTGTCTAGGTTAGGTTAGGTCTATTTACTTTATCTCATTTACTTACTGAGAAGAGTGACACCATTACAGGCGTTGGGTCTGCGGCAGTTAAAAACCTTTTTTTTTACTTTTACCATGCTTTTACCCAATACAGTTACTTGCCCTTCATAAGGCCATCATCAAGCAACAATGCTGGGCCACTATCGAAAGGCCGAAAGTAGGCTTTTATCTTTTAATCGTCGCATTCATTTTCCTTTCAATTACAGCAAAAGGCGAGCAATATCCCGGCAATTTATTGTTCGTTGGACATATGCCGTAAAAAAGAACATTTTTAGCTTTAAAAAGTTGCAAGGACATTTTGCTTGAAAAAAAAGGAATGTTCTTTTCAAAAAGGACAGGTGGCAACCCTATTCATGTTTTGTTTAGGCATGATTATAAACATGTATAATAGTTAATGCCTTTTTTGCTCTCTTAATATTTTAGAAACGTTTCTACAACGTTTCATTATATTTATGAAAAAAAAAAAACTAAAATACATTTCTAAAATATTACTATTTATTAATATTTCTAAAAGATTTCATATTTTCATTTCAGAAATATTACTGTGAAATTTTATATTTACAGGACATTTTTACGTTTCAGGCACATTTCAGAAATGTTTCTGGGACGTTCCTTAATATTTATACAACATTACAAATGTTTGTTGAAATATTTCCGAAATATGTTTGGGCTGTATGGGTATAACTATTAATTTTTTATACTCCCATAATAAAAAATTAATGTGTTAAAATTTTGAATAAAATTGTATATCTATGCAACCAGTATTACTTTAATGCATTATTAGTGGCATTACTTCATTCATTTCATTGGCATGTTTAGAAAAATAGAAAATAAAATGATTTATTTTCAACAACTTGTAGGATGTTCTTCCTGCTTGTTAAGTTTTCAAAAAAATAAGTTATTGTGTCGTATATTAAGTTAATAGTATTTTGTGTAGATTTGTAATGAAAAATAAGTACCAAAACATAATTATTACTAGGTTATTGTAAGTTCACTAACAAAATCTATTTTTATATATGTACAAGACGATTTTTTAGGGCAAGTGTATAATAAAAATAAGTGGGTGTGTGTTTTAACTAATTGGAAGATAAATTTAATAAAACTATTACTTGTACATCGACAACTTTGACCAACATAAATACTTAGGTTCAGATAATTAAAAACTGTGCTAAATTAAAGGAATACTACCTATCGGATCACCAAAGTGCTTTGGTAAGTTTTGATAAATTTTATATATCTTAAGTTCCTTTCAAAATTAAGTCCTCCCTCAGACAGCACTATAAATCCTTTGGATATCTACTGGACATCCCAATATCCACTGAATGTCCAGTCCATGGTGGATATCAATTTTATATGCATGAGATGTAATTTATAGACATGCAAATGTCCATAAATAATAGTAATTATATAGCACATTATTAAAAAATTACACCATTGTGCTCGCCATTGTGGCTAATAGTACCGTTCAGATATTTAAAATTAATTTTTTAAGGTGTATTCAATATCCCATGGACATCCACTAAATATATCAAAAGATATTCTGTGGATATCTCTGGGATTTGGTGTGTTGTCTGGGACGTAGAATAGCCCACGAGCTGCCACTGTTTGTTAAGTATATATAAAAAAGATAGGTCCGAGAATAGTGGCTTGTGGAACTCCGCAAGACATTGTTCCCATTCTAATAAGTGATTCATGCATTTTAACTCAAACTGATATCTATTCGTTAAAAATATGTCTACCAAATTTAAAAGGAATACCAATGATACCAAGGTGTTCCATTTTGCCAATTAACAATTTGTGATTTACTCTGGTAAAAGTGTTTTATAGATCTTTAAAGACATTCATGCAAAATTTTATAGGTAGATCCTATAAGTATTTTCTTTGATATACTTATTTACAAACTAGAAACCTTTCTACAACCATAAACCTCTTTTTTTATCTATGGTCTTATTCAAGGCATAATATAAATGTATTGTCCTTCCTATTCTCCTTTATAATGACTAATTTGAATTTGAAAGAACTAACAAAATATTTGAAAATTGGCTGGCTTCCTAGTTTTATAAAAGGCCAACAGATAAAAATAAAAACGAAGTAGAGATGGAAAGTGTGTTTATAAATAATATATTTATATATTCGTTTCATAATAATAAACCACAATATTAGATAATTAAATCATGGTAAAATTATTATACTTTCCTTCACAAACCTAAAATGATTAACATAATTTTTAAACTTCTCAGTTTATTGGTAAGTTTATTCCGAGCTTAAGTGGTAAGATTTTCAATTAAACAAATTTTAATAGTTATTTTCTAGAGCTGATTTTGACGAGAATTTTAACCCTTCATCAGAACTTTTAGGATATAGAAATGGGATTGTAGGAAATGAGACTTTTGTTTATTATTATGTACACCATTCTGGAAATATTCTCATATCATTAACCTCTAGGTAAATAAATGAATGAGATACTTTAATTGCTATTTTTCATTGATTTTGTTTTAGCGAAGGCGATGCTGATTTATATATCTCAGAAACAAGAGTATTCCCTACGTTCTATCCTGAGTCATATGATCTTCATTCTGCCACTTGTGGAACTGAGGTTATAGAAATTCCTCTCAGGTATGTTTTTAACAATGTTGGTGTTTTTATATCATAATTTTTACTTTTTCAAATTGGTGTTTGTAGTATTTAATCAGTCATCAGAAAATATTCTGCATGTACTGGTTTTGAGAATATATATTGAAAAATACCTATCTGAGGGACGAATAATTTGGTTCTTTAGCTCTAGAAGGGTTTGCAATAAATTTTGAAGAAATCAGAACAAATCATCCATAAACTATCCAATCAAATTTGTCCACATTTATTTATTTATAATAAAATATACATTTATCAATGTGACCTTTTACATTTCTTACTTATTTGGATGGGTTTGAATATCAGATTACAATATTCCACATCAATCAGCAGAAACAGCATATTTAAGTACTTTTTGGGTACTATTGGATATATTGAATAAGAGGGGAGACCTAGTCCATCTGAGAGGAACATTAAATGGTTTTGGTAGCAGTAATTCATTTGAGTTTACTTGGATATTTAAAATTATATATAGAAATATCATAAACTGTTTCCATCTATTAGTTAGTAGACATATTCCAAAATTCTTGTAATATAGATGTTTTTATGTAAGAATTGTAGTCAAGTACTTATATATTTTTTTGTTATAAAGATACCTGAGTATTTTTTACAATTTATCCAAGTAAATTTGGGGTTTGTTTGCCCCAAATGAACAAAGCATATTCCAAAATATGTTAAATGATGTTTTTATTTTTAGTTTCAAAAGCCCAATAGCTGTTGGAGTCTACGGCCATTCCGCCCATGAACTGAGTGTTTTTGTACTAGAAATTTTCAGAAACCCAAAATCTGACATAAAAACTTTTGCTATAATCGTGGATGAGCTACCTCAAAGTGTCAAAGAACAGAATTCTATACCAACTGAAGATAAAGCAAAAAATCCAAAATCTAAAACTAATAAAAGAAAAACGGAATCGGTGGCGTCGAATGTAAATGGATTTTTCTCTCTTTTTGAAATCATAGGACTGATATTTTTATGACCAAAGAGCGTATTGGTAGATGAAAATTTTTAAAAATTAAATTTATCTGTTCCTAATATTGACCCATTGATTTTTATGATCTAAGAATTATAATGTACTGATTAGGTGTATAATTAAAATTGAACAATTGTGTATTATTTCCCTTAATTTTATGTATGAAAAATATACTCCATTCTTCTAAAATAAGATAGTATTAAGCTGTTCAAATTTTAGTATATAAATCGTAACCAAATTTCAACTATTTCGAAAAAAATTCAAGATTTAATAATAAGGCAAAAGCAGAACATTTTTTGGTAAAGTGATCTGTATAACGATAATTATGAAGACCTGCATACTTTCAAGAAAAAGTCATCAGTAAATACGATGAAGATTATTAATAGGCAACACATCAAACGTTACTGCGTAATGTTGGTTGCGTATAGTAGGTAGAATAGTTCTGAAAATAAATTATCCAAATAATGTTTGTATAAACTTAATAGTCTAAGATCTGAAGTAAGGTCGACCTTCACCCATCTGTTTAATGGATGAAAGTTTCTTTTTATTAAATAAAATATGTTTATAAATATACCGCAAAAGGGTTGCCTAAGAAAATACGGTCCAGACTATTTATTTTCTTAAAATAAAAAAAACGACACCCTGTAAAGTATTCCCCAGATGCTTCGACTATGCCCAAACTTTAATTAGCTAACCGCAGGATAGATTAAAGCTAAAGTTTAAAATTTGGTGTTTTTCACTCTATCCGTTTTTGAGTTGTCTTCAAAATTTGCACTTTTCCTCAAATATCTCGAATTAGGTCCATTTTAGGGAAATCATGTAGAGGGACAAATTAATAGAGAATGACATTATAAGCAACTTTTACCATGATTCATATACTTTCCTTATCTGTACAAAGAAAGGAAAGCAAAAAATTGCCGTGACCGTATTTTCTTAGGCAACCTATTTGCGGTACATTTAAAAACATGTTATCTAATAAAAAAAACTTTAATCCATTAAACAGATGGGTAAAAGTCTACCTTACTTACGGATCCTGGACTATAATCGTTTTATTATTAAAAAGTGTAACACCCTACTATTACGGCAACCCAACATACACATGTGTATATAAAGTTGCCTACCCTTGGACATCATTCCAGAGCGATATTGTGATCGAAAGAGACACGTTGGGCGCCAATTATAGCAAGGGTGGTGTTGGATGATCTATTTCGTAGGTTCGGAGAGCCCTTTTTATTTTTGGAACGTATTAAAACCGTTAAATCTTAGTGGCATTAGTATATTACACACTTATCTTTACTACTAAATTAACATTACATTTGACAAAAAAAATACGTTAAATAAATTAATATCAAAGGCAAAAACACAAGATATAGAACTGATTGCTTTTCTGACAAGAATTGACCTGAGTTCTAGAAAACGCGGTAAAATATCATCTGTCTCTTTCACAATGCGCTAGTTCAGTGATGATGTAATTATGGTTCCACTGACAATTAAAGTGACAGTAGATTTTTTGAGTGCGTTTTGTTCGTTTTGTTTACCTAAATTATATCGATTTTTTCACTTTTATAAATATATTCCTACAGTAAGTAGATAGCATGTATCAAATATACAATCGTTTAGTTACCAATTACATACCTTTAAACTATTTTTTATGATCTGTAAACAATATTTTGAAATAAAATAAAAACAGTAAAAACGTATATGTCAAATTTATTGATGTTTTTGTTAAAAGTTTGGTTAGAATTAAATGTCAGTGGAACCAAAATGACATCACACTGAACTAGCGCATATCGATCTGGAATGACGTCCGAGGGTAGGCAACTTTATATACACATGTGTATGTTGGGTTGCCGTAATAGTAGGGTGTTACAAAAGGATATTTCCTAGAAAAAGAATTAAAGCAACTAAATAAATACGATCTGTAATTACATCCGTGTTTTTTATATTTAATTCTAAAACAGAAAATTAAACTGGTGTGATTTATGTTTTCTGGCATCAAATAATAAACTAACAAATTTTTAATTTTTTTGCGAGAGTTATTGATTTAAGTCGAAGTTTTTTTCATATTTTAAAGAATACAAGGCGAAACAGGATTTTTTTTAGTTGCACATCCTTCGAATCATACTGTAATGTGGTTTATAAACTATATGTATATTAATAAATGATTTGGAGCCTACATTTATTATTAACACGCTATAAAAAAAGATAGTTTTATTAAAAAATAACATTCGCAGGGTCTACCAACATTTGACTCACTATACCGGGTGTTCAAGTTAAAGCGTTACAGCTATATACCGCTTTTTATAAAAAAAAAAAACGTTTCAGACGAAAGTTTTATAGTTTTGTGGGGAAAAACTTTTGCCTAAAATCGTTTTTTATAGCTAACCATAATATGGCCAACTTTTTTTTCGCGCAACAACATTTTCAAGTAGCTGTTACTCAAAAAGTAAAAGTCCAATAAAAAAAAATATTTCCCTCAAAAGTTTCTTATTTTTTTATGTACTTTAAGAATATGTAAGAAAAAAATGGGATTCCCATTTAAAAAAACAAAGTTCACCCCAATATAGCCATATTATGGTAAGCAATAAAAAAATGAATTTAGCCAAAATGTTTCCCCCAAAAAACTATAAAACTTTTGTCTGAAACTTTTTTTTCTAAAATGCATATTTTCGGCGGTATTTAACTGTAACACTTTAATTTGAACACCCGGTATAAAATGGGCTAGCCCCTATTTTTTATTAAATAATAACCGAGGCTTAATTCTGATGCCTTGGTAGGATTCCCCACTCGACCATTTACTGTTGGGTTCTAATTAACAGTGCTGTTCCTAAAGTGGCGCTGGGAAACAGTAACAAAGCCTACACAGAACACAAGGCGAAATAACCTTAGCAGTTGAAAAAAAAAAAATAACCGAGGCTGTTTCAGCGGGGTATGCCTAAACTTCTCTTTTTAGTTCTCCAATGTGAACAAAAAAAAGTATCTAGAAAAAATAAACAAAAAATATAAATAATCGACTATAAATGAAACAAATAATCGAAAATATAAGCTATATCTTTGATGAAAATAAACAAAAAATTTAAATAATTGACCATAAATAAAACAAATAATCTAAAATATAAGCTATATCTTTAATGCCATAAAGCTTATCTAATGTTACTCTAAAAGGATTATTACCATAAAGCTAAATTTTTTGAAATTTCACAGAAACAATAATTTTTTTTTGATTTCTCAACATTTTAAAAGTGGAATTGTCCGGTTCTTGCACCGAGGTCTTCAATTTTGATGTTTTCATACGTGTTAATCTTTATTTTTGGGTACGCCACTGCGCTCTGGCTAATCGCTTCTCTGTGGTGCACTATTCTGAATGGTTCTGAGAGATTTTTTCCAATCATTGATATAGACTAGAGAGGAGATACTATGATGATACTAAAAATGTACGAACTTTTGCATTAACACTTTTATGTCATATGTCAAACTCGAGCAAGTGGAGCTAGTCAGTTTTTGTGAGAACAAATACCATTTTTTACAAAATTAACAATAAAAACTGAAAAATTGTAGATAAATTTTCATATAATACTATTTTTTACTTAAAACTTTTTTCTACATAACCTGATAAATATTCAAAAATCTCAAAATATAAAGAAAAGTCAACTAACTAATATTGTTTATCGAAGAGGATATAAGCCATTGACTTTCGTCAAAATCGTGATTTTAAACTATGAAAATTGATATCTTCTAAAATAATAATTTTATCAAAACTAAATTATAGAACCTTTTTTTATGTAAAATACAGAATATGAAAAACATATTTTGTCCCGATTAAATACAATATTTTTAAGATAACAATTTCGTTATAGGCAAAATGGAACCACAAACATAATTTGGCATATTTGACACATTTTTAAAGGAGACTGATACAAAGATTGAGTCGGAATAGTTTTCGACGCTTTGCGCCCATTTCTCCTAGACTATTATGAAACTCATTCAAATTCCCATCTATACTTATAAAATTCCAAAATTTTTGCTCTGTGACAATTCCCAAAAATAACCATTATACATCCTGACTTTTCTTTATATCTAATTTTTATTTTCCAAACATTTCTTACAAAGTGTTTCATACTAAATATAGTCCAGTCAAATCATTATGATAAACAAATTTTATACAAGCGTTCATTCCCGTGCGCAAAGTTCCGCTTTTCCGCACGCCGTGCGGATGAGATATTTTTCAGCACTGACAGCTACATACAGTGTGCAGAATAAAATAAACATTTCAAATAAAATTTTCAATTCTATTGAAATTTTCAATTCTATTGAAACTAGAGTGTCGAATTCAACGTTAACATACTCTCAATCAAATTCGACGACCATTTGTACATGAGCAGCCACCGTAAATAATTTGTATATTTAGTTTATAAGTAATGTTTTCCTTTATATGTTTGAGATTAGTTATTTGTTGATCTAAGAATGAAAAGTAATGTCAATTGTCAGTTGCCATAAGAATCGAACAAGATGAACTGCTTTTGATAGAAACAAGTTAATACGCCATTCTTTGTTACATATTATATTTTTTCCTATTAGTGCTTCCATTGCAGCTGTGGGGGTTGTTTTCATTGCCCCCGTTATTCAGAGGTAGGCAAGTCTTTGTACCTTGCTTAGCCCCGTTATTGCTTTCCTTTGCTGTGTCTTTGGCCACCACACCAAAGCTGCATATGTTATTATCGGTCTCACCACCATCTGTCCATTTTGTTACTAAATTTAGAGCCTCTTACTATAGTGTTGTATTTTTCCTGTTCCATGATCACTAGATCATCGGCATATCCCAGGCATAGGCATATCCTTTATCTTTGAGAGCTCTAAGCAGCCCGTCCACTACAAGGTTTCACAGGAGTGGAGACAGTACTCTACCCTGCGGACATCCTCTCGCAACCCGTGCCTCTATTGTTTCTTTCATAAGGCTTATGTGTATAGTTCTCTCCCTGAACCAATGTCCCGTCTCTAACATTCCTATCTAGCAATTTTTCCAAAGTCTTAAGTACAAAGGACAAGATTTATTGGTCTTAGGGACTTTGCCGTTTCCTGTTCTATTTTCCCAGGTTTTGGTATAAAAGTTATCCTAATATTTCTCCAAGCTTTTGGTA